TTAGTCGTTGATGGTTGATTAAAAGTAAAACTTGGCGCTGAGCTTCCCGAAGCTGTAGTTGTCGCACTCGTTGTTCTAGATTCAAGTTCATCTGCAGATATAGATGATTGGCTGAGTGCATCTTTGGTGGATGATGGTGGATCCGTGATTAATAACTAGTTATGTGAGATTTAAAGATTAAAGGAAATTATTTATTTCATTTGAAGTACTAAATTTTTTTTATCGAATATTTATTAGATATTAATAATGTAAGTTTTATCGACCGCTGTTTCCTTGTCGAAAAATAATCGAAAATATTCGGATTTTTTGAAAATTTTATGACGATTTTTAAGATATATTTATGATTGTCCGAGAATGAATGTGAGACTTCTCCTGAGAGTTTATTGAAATGTAACACCGCCATACAAAAAATGCTGACTGTTCATTCTCGGACATTCATATCTACAGCTGTTGATATATCAATAAGAAAATAGCGCCTATTCAACGCATCTTTTCGCTCGGACGCTATGTATGCTGGACATTATAATGGTGTCATCTAATAAATGTTTTTAATTTATCCAAAATTATAGTGAAAAACCTCTAAATTATATAACATTAATATGAACCGTCTAGAATATTCATGACCTTAAGAAATTTGTCAAAAGAAAACTGCAACGTGCCCATATATTTCTTTTAATTATTTGCGGAAAATATTATCGGATGTGGGAAATGTTCAGTACCAAACAGACATTATTTGAGATATTTTCAGCCAGCTGAAATGGAGTAATCACTGTAACAACCACATTTATTATCTTCGATCCACTTCAGCGTCTGAAGTTACGTGCGTGAGCTGATTCAGCTAGTTGAAAATATCACAATATAATGTGAAGAAGGAAAGAATGCAAATCAAATGTTTACTTCAATGTCATTTACTTACTTTTCCTGGAGTATCTAATTTTTCGCTCGTTTCTATTTTTGTTCCATCTACTTTATAACAGGTGGATGCATTTTCATCAGTGTCGAGGGTTTCTATCCCTTTTGCTGACGTTAAAGTAATATGACTCATTATTTAAAACACTATCTTCAAAAAACCACTGAGTACACCGAAAATTTCTTCACTAATACCACAGTAAAAGATGGATTTATGTTTTAAAATAATGCGAATGCGTTTTTGCTATTTTCTATTGTCACTTTATTGATTATTGCGCTTAGCCAGAGGCAAGACACTAATTATGGTGCGCATGTCAACTCTTTAGCACTAATTGGACAATATGTCATAATACGCATTCGGAACACATTGTTGTTATATGTTATTACATTTGCTAAAATTTCTTGCTATAAAACAAATATTGTTAGACCAAAATTATATAAAGTAAACTTGAATTTCAAAATATTTTAAAACTTTTCTCACTTTTTAAATAGACACATCGATACACAATTTTTTTTTGTTCAATTTACATCTATAATGTGACACATTAATCTTATGCTATTAATTAATCCGTGTTAGATGACACTTTATGATGCTTTTATTCAAATTATGTTCAAATCTCAATGGAACCTGTTTTCATTTGATGAAGTGTTTTTTTCAATTCGCTCTTGTATCGTTGTTCTTGGAAATACCACATTAAATGTGACGTCATTACCGAATTATTTTAATATCAATTAATTTCGATTTAAAAAGTTTAACAGTTTAACAATGTCACTCCGGGAAAATACAGATGATTTGATACGTTAATAGTCTAGTCAGTTCGATATATTTAAATTCATTCAAATCATATTTATCGGCCAATTTCAATACACCTTCAATATTTTTGTACGATAATGCCACTGTAATAAAAATGTAAAGAAAAGTCGATATTCACAATTTCATTTTTCTCCATCAGATCATCGTAAAACATAACACCTTGAACACTTTGCTACCCCAATGCCAGAATTGCTTTGAGGATCGCAGCCTATTGATGTTGCCCGTTGCTGTTGAAAATAAAATGAACGTCAGCTATTTCATCCTTTAAGTAGAGCAGTTGAGCAATTGTTGCATTTTATGGTAAATATATTGATTTCTTGGAATAGCACTTGATGTTGACATTTTGAGCATCGAAATGAAATGAAAAACCAAATTTAAATGACAACTTTAATAGATTTCAAAAAGTTCCGTCTAATTTGTTCGAATTTTGAACAATCTAGTTTTGTTTTTTTGCGTGGTACACTGTAGATTTGTTGCGATTTGATAAGAATCGTAATCATTTGAGCTCACCTATTACAGGCTGTATATGAATTATTGACTGAATGAAGATCTGCATACAATTTTCTTTTGCTTGCAACGAAATGTTATCAAGTAACCGCAATTGGAAGAGTTTCAAACGTGTTAAACTGTCGCTCATTGAATGTTTGACGAATCAATTATTTTAATGACTTTTGCTTTTGTTCATTGGCATTGGACGTGAGTTTGTATATTGTGACAGTGACGGTAAACTGAAAACGAAATATTCATATTTGTATGACATCATCTTGGTTCGCCAGCGATATTTGTGAAAATGAATCACAAAAATGCTGAGACCTTTCATTTAGTGTGTATGTTTGCAATAGTGCGAATTTTAATTATGCCGATTCTTTTCTCAACCAAAAGGAATATAATAAAAGTAGTTTCGAAACTGAACTGCTTTTTATAATGCGAGAGTAGTTTGCGTGCGAAAATAAATGTGAAAACATTAAAATAGTTTCACATAATATAAGCGAACCGTTTGTTCATTTGGAAATATATCCTTCGAATATGCATTTATACCACACAAAATCTAGTACTACAGTATAGCTGCCGGTTAACAGGAATGACTTTTATTCTGAATCTTTATTTCTTACACACTGTTACAATGTTTATCATAATAAATGAAAAACTAATGTCATTTTTTAAAATAAAAACAGATTTGAATTTTTTTCCTGAATTGTGATCGATTTTCTTCATATTCAACCGACCGTTGTGCTAGTACAACGTAGCTCGTTTAAAAAACAACAGTTTTATATGAGTTTGGCCGAACTGTCATCAATCTGTGTGTATTGTATGTGTGCGTGCGTGTGTATGTGACATTGCACGAAGCGAACAAATGAACGTTAAATGTCAATTTTGAATGCGATTTGAATTTTCTCGTTGGTTTTGTTTTGGAGCGCAATTCGCCAATGCATTGGCCTCACACCATAGACACATTGCATGTAGTATGGCTATTGTTTATGTGCGTTCTTACTTATTGTCTTCGCAACGATTGTGAATAAAACGTCTTTTATTTAAGTTCTCCAGTTTGTTTTCTGTATTAAAAAAATAGTGCAATTCATTTTCATTCATTTAATTAAATATAATTTATTTTCGCGTCCAATTGAAAGAATGATATTTCATTATATTTTTAACTGTTGATCCTATTTATTTTATTGATCACCATGAATGGTAAGCATCCGTTTATACTATATGGTTAATTTTTTTTAAATCAAAATTTCTAAACGAAGTGTTGATTCTCAAACGTGTGTGCTCGTTGTTTGAAATGTTATGAAAAAAAAAATCATCATTTACCGAGTTTTATTTCATTTTAATGAAAAATATTTGTGGTTAATTAATTTGTGGTACATGCATGAATTTTGGCAGTGAAAATTTTTTCCTGGCGCAAACAATGTAGAGAACGAAACATTTTTAAGAGTGCGTGCCTTTAAATGTGACTTGTGCGCGTATGTGATATTGGTTATATGTGTGAGATGCTTTCCATTTAATTGTTGTTTGACTCCTTTTCTGCGTTTCATTTTGCCCTTTTTCTGTTCCTACAACAACAAGCCATAAAATCCTGTCATTTAAAAGTGCTGCGCTGTGTATGAAGGCGAAATACGCGAGAAAAACGCGACGTAACTGGAAATCTTTTTTTTTTTTTGAGAGAGACGAAAAAATGGGTTGTCTGCATATTTGTGCATGTGCATCGATCAACGTGCATGCACGATTGCCTTATATAAACGGTCCGATTTTGTGTGATGCACTGTGTATATAAGACGCAGAGAGTTATTCGCGAGAGCACGCGAATCTTTGGTCGCGCTCAAGATCGTGCAAGGCAACGAAAAAGAGAGAAAAATGACTCGAAAGAAGAGAAGGAAAAAAGTCAGCACGAGCCACACATGCTTTGCAATACCATTAGGTTGATTTCGCACTCGAATCTTTCTCTCTCATCGTTTACGCACACACATGCGCGCACTTATTCACATTCGGATGTTTCCACGCATTTCGTCTGGTCGCGGTCACAAAACTAAACATCGTTTCATTTTATTCGGTCGTGTCCACATCGATTCGACCGGTCATAATGAACAATATAAACATGCGAACTTGATTTGCTTCTTTTTTTATATTATTTTAATACGATTTTTGTCAAGCCGAAGCATTTTGAGCGAAAGACGAATGTGAATATGAACACAGTTAGGTGCAGAAAAAGAAAAGAAGAAAAAAAACCATAAGAAGCTAAAATTAAAAATCAAGCGGACAAAAGAGAATCGAAAAAGGCTTTATTTATATAGCAAATCGGTAAACTTGATTTTAAGGTTGTTAGTTTTTTTTGCACGTTTCTCTTTTTTTTTTAAATATTGTTGTTGTTGTTGATTTAATATTCTTGTTCTGTTTCGGCCATTATGTTATGTGGCACTTTTTCGTGAATAATCGTTATCATTAAATGATGTCGTTGATATCCTCGCGAATAGCATTGCATTGTGCGCACAAGAGTTCAACGATTCCACTATATACACGGCCACTTTCTTGTTTTACGTATATGCAAAATACAACAACAATAAAAAAAAATTAAGACGAAGAGAATGTGATGGATATGAAGAAAAAATTATGCTGAAATCAAGTGAATAACACAACAAAAAAACGTGTCAACGCTTTTTTTACTCATGAATAGAAACCAGAAACTCTAATCACTCACGGAATATGATGGCATATTCATAGATTCATTTCAGAAGCAAAATAGTGACGAGATTGTTCAAACGTTGAACATGAACGCAAACGTTTTATGTGCGCCAACACGTTTTTCAAACGCATTTTGATTTCAGTTCAAACAGTTAAACTTATGAAATACGATCAATTTCAATTGCAAATCGCCGTTGAATCTGTGATATATAATTCAAAGATCAAAGTCAATAAATTCAGTAGTGTTCAATCAATGTCGATAGAGTATATGTTGTATATTTTTGGAGTATCGTTTAAGTTTGAGTGTTCCGGACCCGCTCGATTTGATTCAATTCATATTCAAAAGTAGTGAAAATCAAATACTTCCCTTCCCATAAGTTTGTATATAACATAAATCATAATTTTTTTTTATTAATTTGATTGTTTGTGAGTGAGTGAACGTATCATAGCTGGTGGCCCGAAAATAGATTTGTCAAAATGTAATGAGATGCATTTAATGGATTTGATTTAACAGTGAAATTTGAGAGCAACACTCAACGGAGAATTACTTCGAATTGGGTTTTATTGATTCCAATTTTGATGGTCTGTGATTGTGTTGTGTCTCTGCTTGTTCATTTTTCTCATTTGATCGTGTAATATCCGCATTTATGGTGTAGTCTGTGTATGCATACGGGCTGTTTAATTGACCTCAATACAAAGGCACATATTACTTTTTTCGTCAACGGTTTTTGTTGTTCGTTTTTTTTTGGTTGTTGCTGAATAAAACAACAAGATTTAACTGCCTGTCTGAAAATTAACACTCGTGGTTTCTTTTTTTTTCTGGCGAAAAAAGAGTGAGAAATCGTCAAAAAAGAAATCCGTTGGTAAAATGAAACGATTTCTTTTCAAGTTTGACCAAATGCTACTCGCAGCACATTTTCCAACGATTAAAACTAATTTAAATGCAAATTCCGTGCATTTATGCATCGCGCTCAATGTATAACATTTAAATATATACATATGTGGTTTCAGCTTTCGTAATACCTACAAAAAAAAAACGTACCAGACAAAGTCTAAGCTTGAAGTGTATTGTTTAATGGTTTTACTTGTTGATTATTTGTATGCGTGAATGGTAATATATCGTTTCCCATTTCGATTTGATTCTCTCGCTCCATTTTTAAATGGACATTTGTAATCGATTCGATTTCCGATTTATATTTTGCTATCAAATAAATACGAAACTATAACAATAACAATTTAAAATACTTTGTCAAAATAAATAAAGCCTTTTGTTATTATGTATTTTGTCTGTTACTATTTTGAAAGCAATGGACGTTATTATTGGATAGCACACACATGTGTTTTGATTTTGTCTGATTTCTTTTCCTGTGTGTATAATATTTGCGACGCAATTCGTATGAATGATTAATTAAATGTACAAAAATTAGAACACAACACCATTTCGAAAAAAAAAACTGGAATCCGTCGTCATCGTCTTCAGTGGAAAATGCATATCATATAGTGCGATTAAGTGTACGTGATTGCGTTTCAATGCGGAATTTAAAACGAAACACAAAAAAGAGCACAAAATAATAATTGTTACAATTATAAATGAAAATGTGTACATTCATATTCCAACAGTCAGCATTTCAATAAGTGTTGTATCTCTCAAGAGCGTATAGTGCACATTAAAAGTGAAGACCAGAATTTAACAACACTTTAATTTATTTATTATCTCATTCTGTGTTTGCTTCACTTACAGACTTTATATAAAGTGATTTCGATCGGTTTGGTTTCGTTTCGAAATTAAATTCTTTTTTCTTTCTTCGTTGAAATCTGTTTAAATAGAATTGCAATTGAAACTATTCATTGACTACTAGATCGAATCAGTTGGAGTTCCGAATATTGGATGTATAGAGAATTTGTTAGTTTTATTGTGAGTACATAGACTATGGGACGAAGTAACAAAAAAGAGAATTATCAACATAAACTTAAATCAATACACAGCCAATAAATATACAGATAAATCATATATTTTGTATGAAAGTCTAACTATTTGTGTGTTATCGTTTTTTTTTTTTGTCACACAAGTGTCTCGATGTACAATTCGATCGATGGATTAATGTCGTTTTTTTAAAATGTGTGTATTTTGTTTATCGAATAAATAAATCTTTTGACGATTCGGTTCGTTCTTTATTCGTTCTCTTTTTCCGTTTTTAATGTATAAAGAGAGCAAGAGAAAGAGAGAGAGATAAACAAAAAAAATCTGTATAAAAAGAAGGAAGGGGGAGGAAAAGAGTGATATAGAAGAAAAAATTGCATATTTCATAATTTTATTCATTTGTATTTGGAAATGTAAACAGTGCGGTATTTCTTCTGTTTTTTTTTTATTTCTCGTAAAATGCGCCAGCTACCTGCTCTCAATAGCACATCAAATCGGGCATTTGTCTCTCATTCATAGACAGATTAGATAAACAAATCTGTGTGCGATTGACGAAGAAAAATAAAATCGACTACAACATAACACCTCATGATATATTGAGGCCGACAGAAAAAAAATTGTTTATTTCAAATTTTTACAACGAACAAAAATGGTGTTTCAGTTTTAATAGACATTTCGAAAAGGAGTGAAGAAAAAAAGAAACCATCGACCATATTCCCGTATTTGGTTATTACAACGTTCAAGTATGCACATCCAATTTGTTGTGATTCGTACAGAAAATCACTGGACAAAAAACCGAAGAAAATAAAAAGTGCATATAAAAGGACGGAGAGTAGAGGAAACAAGAGATTGCACTGAACGATCGTAAAAATAGTTAAAAAGAAAAAAAAACGGCTTTTAAACACTTGTTTCTTTCGTTTTTTATATGGCCTTTTGTTCGGAGTGTGTACATGTGCTACAATGTGTTGAAAAACTCGGCTTTTGTTATGCTCGAAAAAAAACGGACATAACAATAAAGCAACTTGGAGAAGAAAAGAATTTATTCATCAAAGGATTCATTTTGCAAAGTAGAGTCTTTCTAAACTGAAGAGGGAGAGAAAAAAAGCAGTGTCCATAGAAAATCAGAAAATGTGCCAAAAATGGTTGAACTGATTTCGTCAAATGATTCGAAACATGTGGCCGCTTCAAAATAGCCATTCAATCGTTTCATATTACCAAATACGGTTATCACATTTATTTCAATCCACATTGTTCCCTTCGTTTCAATGCTTATTTGTACAAGTTTCTGTGTATAATAAAGCAGTTTATTGACACTCTCATTGCATACACTTGTTTCGATAAAAATCTTTTAAACCAATATTGCTCGGCATGTCCCTGATTAATTCATTAGCAACGTTCTGTTGTTCATGTTAAACGTGTATGTTTATATTCTTGTTTTTTGTTTCTTCTTCTTCTCCGTAATAATAGAAAGAAATGGCCGTCGTTGAAGCAAATGAGAAAATGGTCATCAATGACCAAGACGATGATCTAGTGAAAAAACCAAATCCAGCCATACTTACAATATTAGATCCGTTGCATCGATCACTGTTGAACAACAATCTCCAATATGAAGAAGGTAAATGAAGAGAGCGAGAGCAATAGAGTACGGATTTATATGTGTTTGAGAGAGACAGAGAGAGATAGATTAAAATATAGAGGCGAAAACGCGTGCAGCAAATCATAAATGGCATGTGTGGAAATTGTTTGAATAAGTAGGTATTATTTGCGTAGTCACGTCTTGGCATTTATTGATTTATTTAATTGAAATGAATACGAAGTGGCTACAACTATGGCAAACATTATCTCAATGCTATTGCTCAAAATGGGCGGTTGCGAAATTGTGCTTTATATTTTCTGTTTTGATTGCATCTCACCACGCACGCTCGCCTTTATCTCTCGATCTACAATTTAGAAGGAAGTTTCAGTCATTCACATTCATCCAAAATAGAAATAAAGTCTGGATTAGTTCCTCTCGTTAAACAAATTTTTCGGGTTGAATGAAAGTCATAATATTTAAGTGGCAAGCAACAACACTTGACTATTTCCTTTGCAATACGCGCACACACCCGATACGATTTTTATAAACAAGTCTTAATTTTTCTATGTCTAATTTTTCTTTTTTTGTTTACATTTTGTCTTCCAGCAGGCGCACGAAGTAACGAGACTCCAGTTGTGGAAAACGATTCGGATGAATATTATTCGGCTCAATCGGTAATCGTATCAACTTACAGTGATGCATTGGCAACGTCAAATAAATTATTTAACACAAATCGGATTGACAACGATGTTATAGGGCAGAATCAACTCCATGTCGAACAACGAAATGCAACCAATTTTCAAAATAATTCAAATGATACGTTTGACAGTCGTAATCGTTTGACGGAGAAAAACAGACAAGCAAAAAGTTTCGATAATTCAAAACAGACCGCCCAACACTTGAATGTGTTAGATACAAAAAACAGATGTGACACGCTTTATCAAGCAAATAGTTCAAACGGCACACAACATCGACACCAGCAGCAGCAACAACATCGTCGTCTGGGTAACGCTGCAGTTTGGAGTAAATCGCATGAGCAAATAACACACAAATTAAGTCGACGAAGCGCACGCAACAGTTTAGAGAACAAAGCACCATTGTCCAGTTATTGTAATCAACATCAACAGCATCATCGAACGAACGACGAACATTATCCGGTGATCAATTCAAAACGAGGCGGCCTGTGCAAACGTTTCCAACCGTCCGACTACAGTGATTCGAGCGATGTGAATAGTGAAACGAATTTGGTCATTGAAAATATGCGCAACCGTGAATGCGAAATGTATCGCAAGATATCGTTCAATAACGGTTATTTTGACCCAACGGACAGCAGCAGCAGCGGTGGCTACATGCATTGCGGAAAAAATAATGCAAACAGTGTTGACACAACATCGAATCATAACAGATGCAAAAAGTGTGCGTGCAAAACAAACGATTTGACGGCAAAAAAATCACCAAAATTAGCGACAAAACGGAAATGTCGATCGTTTCCACTCACCGAAAATCGACATAATCAACAAAAAAGTGAAGAAAACGAACAAAATATCATAGACAATCAAATTGAATCAACTAGATTGAATTGTGCACGCACATTGAATAGCAATGGCATTCAAATGCGCGCCAGTGAAACCGCAACAAATACATATCAAACAAATTCACGTAAAATAACAATAACCATTAGAACACAAAATGTGACCGGCGAACATGAAATTAATGCAAATCAACAACATCAACGTGCCCAACCAAATGCCATCGAAAACTATTTGACAAAAACGTGTGAGACGAGTGAAGAAAGTGACACAAGCGTCAGTGATTATGCGACATTAGGCAGTGAAAGTGGTGTAAATGCAAATGTTAAACAAACACACGAATGTAACAATGAAAATGATTTTGATGTTGAATCAACTAACAATGAGTCGAACACAAGAAGTAGCAGTGATGATGATGATGATGACGACGATGATAATAATAGTTTCTTTTCAATAAAAAGTGACATTGAATATCAGTCTGAAACGAGTCAATATTTTAATTGTGCCAGTTTTACCGATTTAAATTCCGAAACGATGTATTATCCGGCGGAAAAGATTCGTGTGTCACGAAAATCAAACGATTTTTCTAATGAAAACTATGACTCGACCTATGCACAAAGTCAATCAAGTGAATTAAAACAAGTCCAAACGAAAATGGTTAAACGTACACACACCAAAAATCAAAAGCAAAATAAAAATGTGGCAACGAAAAAGTGTGCATCACCAATGATATGCATCGAACAGGAATTGAGTGAAAAACGAATTGTCACATCGAAAATCGAAGTAGACAAGGAAAAGATTAAAGAATTTAAACGTCGACAAAAGAAACGATCTCAGCCAAAAATTATCATCGATAATACATTTTCCGAGGAGATTTTCAACGAAACATTAAATCGATCGGCAGAAATGTGCTGTGATAAAAATGTCATCGACAACATTGTTTCGTCATTGGAGGCGACCAAAACATGTGAAACATCCATAAAACACACGAAAAATGAACAAAATGTTCGCAATAAATTTCTGAGCGATGATTTTGTATTCGATAAATTACAGTCTAGTCCAACATATACAGGAAAATCGATTCGTCGTTTGCTTGAGCATCGCATCGAACAAAAATCAATTACAAGTGTACGACGAACACTACTGCAAAATGTGGCCTATGCAATTACGGAAAAGGAGAAACTACAAAAGCTTGAAAAGAAACGTTCAATTGAATTGGCACCAATTAAACCGCCACGATGTTTTACAGCCTCATCATCATCGTCACCATTATCGAAACAAAGTTTCGAATCATCGGCTACCGTACCGATTTCCGAATTAAATCGCCATGAACAAGTTATGGGTTTTGTTATTCCATCAAATTACAACGGTGAACCGAAATATGATCATGTCGGCGAAGAGTCATCAATTCAATTTGGATGGATTCGACCGGGCAGCAATGTTGATAACAATGATCCGCCGTCATCACGCTATGTTACAGCCGATCAATTTAGCAGTTCGACACAATACACCGTTCCGCCAATGAGTGCAGTGCAAAATATTGGATTTTCTATTCCAAAGGAAGACATCGATACTGTGGACAGTTCAAATCGATCGACCAAAGATTTTGAACGATTTTCATCAATACTTACCGAAAATCGTCAAAATAATTTAAGCACACCAATCAAAGAGCTGGTAACAAATGATACGCAATATGAAAGTGTGAAGGAGATTCCGGTCACTGCTGTTCGTGCAAGCGACCAACCAACAGAAACAATATGCAAAAATTGTAATTGCAAAGTGAAAAAAGAGAAACATACAACGCTCGGCAAAACTGGAAAACGTATTGGAAAAGCGGCATTAAAACGAACTAAAACACTGATTGGAACATCAAAAAGGCTGTTGAAAAAACCATCGATAAAAGAAGCGCCAGCAAAGAGCGATGCAAAAAAAGTGAATGCAAATGTTGACGTATTTTCAACGCCACTTAAAGATGGTGATAATACGGTATGTAATAATCGCGATACAATTGCTCAGGAAGAATATAAAAAACGTGTGAATAAATCGTTGAATTTGACACCAAAAGAATTCAACCAAAATGTGGTTGCATTAAAACCGAGCCCAAATAGAAATGCAGAAATTTCGAATATTCGTCTGTTGAAAGATGCACCAAAGTCAATGGACGATTCTGAACAATATGCAACGCCAGACGAAGCATTCGATTTTGATCGTGTGGTCAATTTACCAGTGCCACCGCCAGATCAAGAGAAAGCAATAAAACGATCTCCATCGAAAATGATTTTAAAATTGGCCAAATCATCAAAATGGCTCTTTCAAATGAAGGGACGCGACAAACGGCCATCGGATGTTGATGAATCAACGCATTACTATAAAGCAAATGATTATGATGAATTTGATAATAAAGTATTATTAATGGGTGAAATGTTGTCCGAAATGCGCAAACAAATTGAAAATGGGCATGGTAGCGAGAGTAATATTGATGAAATTGCATCGGAACGGCCATCATCATCGGCAAAAAAATGTCTATTTCGAAATAGAAATGTTTCGACAAGTAGCGGTGATATTTTAGATCAAGATTCATTAATTGAACAAATAGCAACAATTGATTTACATAATGAACCTGAGCCGGAACCATTGTATGCTGAAATCGTGCCGATACGATCACCAAAGGGCCAAGACACATTATATCACAGTTGTCAACCGGAGGATGATGTTAATGCGATTCGCAGTTGTCCATCGGCGTCGACGGCATCGGTACAATTGAAAGAAGTGTACATAAGTGATCGTGGCGACTCACAGCCCAGCAAATACATTATGGTAAATAACAATCCGAAAATATTATATGCAACAGTAAATCGTGGTTCGATGCAAACACGAAGCTTAGAAACGATTGAATCACGCACCGAAGAACAGAGTGAAGATCAAGTTGACGGTGATACAGCTGATCGAGATAGTTTTAAATTAAGTTCAAGTTACGAATCGCTTGACATGAGTTTGATAAATGACTTTGCAACAGCTGTTCAAACCGAATTGGATCAATGCCAATTTAAAATGAATGAAATGTTTACAACGGCAACCAGTGAAGAACCATATCAAACTGGTTGTGATGAAGTCGACGCACTCAAACCTGATCGCAAATCGAATTCGGGCTCCGAATCAATAGCAACAAGCGGATGCTCATCGTTTTATCGACGTAATAAAAACATTGTAACAAATCCACCGCGAAAAACATTGAGTGACTTTGTGGATACACTTTCATTTGACACAGTCGGCACTGGTTCATATTGTGAAAGTTTAAGTCGAGGTAATGACTTGAACAGCGAAATCAAGGATACAATCACTAGTTTAGAGTATATGCCAAGCGAAATGGGCGACTCAACTGATTTGTCACATGATTACGTCACAAATGCAGCATTTCGAAGCTGTGCTACTGACATGAATTCTTCAAAAGACTCAGCCAAGGTACGTTTTTTCACATTTTTTTTTTGAATTTTGTCAAAGATTTGATTAATCAACGTGACTTGCTTACATTACAGTTTATTTCCTTCAACCGACCGGAATGTGATTCAATTGACTCATCATCGCCAGGTTCATCACTTTATCGAACATTCAGTAAAACAAATTCGCCATCGAAAAAACTGCTAAAAATGTCACCCAGTTTGAAGGCCATCAAAACCAAATTTCGCAATTCATTTCGAATGGATAGTAAAAAGCCAATTAAAAACGATTGCAGCTTTGTAACCGATGGAATCGGATCGGACGAATCGAGCGATGTTAAGTCATTTGCATCATCGTCGAGCGGCGGCTCAAGTGCTGATTTACAACGGAAACACTTATTTGAATCGATTTGTAGTCGACTAGAAACGATGCCAAGCGACAGTTTGGCAAATGCAATTCAAATGAAAACTTTGATTGATCGAATACGTCAACAACAAGAAATGCGGAAATCTATTCAAAATGCACTGGAAGTGTGCCGAACAAACAGTGAATTTCATAATTCACGTGAATTAGTTGAAGCTGAACAGTTGATGTTGATGTCAAGTTTAAAAGAATGCACAGCACTGGAAAAATTGATTACACTATGGCAATGTGATGGCGAAACAAATGAAACTGTAAATGAACTGGGTGAAGGTGTATTGACTGTCAAATATTTAGAATTTGAATTGAAGGTTGACTCAATTTATGATACACATTTCAATTATTTCTACATTTGTGCTTGTTCCTATCGTGATCAAGTGGAATTTACCGACGCCAAAGAACGCACCGACAACCGAATTGTGTTCAACAATTTGAAAATGCAATTCCATGGATTGTCGGCCGATTTTGAAATTCGCGTTGAAATCTATGCACTGCGTCTCAGGAAAAATGCAAATAGTGAAAAGGTAAGCATGATTTGTTCATTTCTTCAATGAAGCTTCAACACAATGTATATGTTTACCATTTCATTTTTTTTTAATCTCACTTTTTACAGAGCTCGGAGCCTTTTATACCAAAAGTCGATTCATCACGTTTTCGTTTACACGGTAAAACGCTATTAACATCATCAAATCTGTCGCGAAAGCACGTCTCATCATCATATCATTCGCCACGAAAATTACAACGTAATTCAAATGGAAAATACGTGTACACTTCATACGGTCTCATTTCACCAGCCATCATTTTGTGCGGTCAGGGGAACACTTTATGCGATTCACTGAAAATTGGCTATCAGGAGCAACTTAATTTCCATGATTCCAGTGCGAACGGGTTTTTGAACATTGCCGATGCAAAACAGAAATGGGATCGTTTATGGTGTCGCATTGATGGATTTTCCATGAATTTTTGGAATTATCCACAGGATGTGAACGATACGGTAAGCTTAAGAGTTATTTTTTAAAATTGTTTGTTCTTTGTTCCTGTTTTTAAAGCATTTAAAGTTCATATTTTCAATCAATGTTCATATTTATTTCTTTATTTGAATTAGCAATCGCCAATTTTAACGCTGAATCTGGACCAGTGCAACTATCGCACGAAATCATTGCTTGTTGATCGAGAAATTTGCCCACGGCCACGAACTTTTAAAATCGATTTAGTGCATGCTGGTGATCCGGAAAAACGTGATCGCAACCGTTGTATTCAACCATATTTCATTTCGGCGGAAAGCCAACTGGAACTAGAACTTTGGTTGAGCGAAATTCAAAAAATATTCGAAATGATCACAAACTGGAATATTTAGAATGGGCAATTGCCATTAAGTATTTAAAAAAAATTAAGTAGAAAATCTGTGCCGACCAAACACAAATTCCAGTTAAATTAATAGCTATTTTCAATGTTTTTGAGTAAATTAAATGTATTAATATAGGCATAGTTCGTATAATCGTTCATATGTGTTTTTCGACATTTTAAAATTTATGTTATTTTGTTTCTTTTTTATTTCTCTTCGAAATAAAAATAAAAACATTACTTTCGAAGAAAATTTGTTGACATTTTTTTTACTATTTTTATAAATTTCAGATGGTTGAAAAGTTACAGCTTTTTATTTAGATAAAATTCTGTTGATAAAAAAGGTTTGTCCTTTTACAAATGTGATAAGTTTGTTGATTTATTAAAACAATCAATTTCAGCGATTCTCAGTCAAAATTACAAATTATTCAATTCATATTTCGTTGATGTTTTTTTGCCCATCATTTTCAACCGATAATTTTGAATCATCAATTCGAAGATATTAGTCATCACTTTTGTGTTGTTTAAATTGAAACGAGACATATACAATCCAGCATTTGTTATGATAAATTGAAAAACACGCATCATAAATATATGAATCTAAATTTTAAATGTTTATTAATAAATGGCCAAGTAATTCCAATTGATTCTAGATATTTTGCTGATTTGATTTTCATTTTTAAGACACTTATAACTTGCAAGTCTTTCATCAGTGACTTATTACTACTTCATTGCCAATCTCAATTGCTTTATTTGGTCAATCACATCAAAACTGTGATTTTCAAAAGGAAAATCCCAAATCATTCCAAAACAGAGCATGGACGAAACAAAACCTATACTTACGAGTTACCAGTGTATGCAATGTGGCGATAGTTATGAAGATAGTTGGTTGAAGAAGACAAAAAAGGAGAGGTGTTCTGAGTACGGCAAAAGAACTTACCATATTTCACATCATAACTTCATACCATTGCTTGAAAATAATATTTTTTTTTAATTTTAGCTATTTACAGACATGTTATGAAATAATTTCTGTAAAATGAATAACGAATAAGCAATATTCGTCGATGAATCAAAATAATAAAAATTCTTTAAAAAAAATACCGTTTTGCTATAATGTTGAATATCTCTTGACAAAATGCTATGAAAAATCCTGTGTGTTTCATTGTTTAGTTGTGTAACTTTTTATAAAGGTTTCTTTTTTGCAGAACATCTTCTTTTTTTGGATTTTTTTCGCGAAGATTCAATTGTGATTTTATTGAGACACTTTACCTTGGTTATAAATTGCAGAATATGCTGTTTTTCTTCGATAAGATTTCATTAATTGGAGGTTTGTACAAGTTATATATCGAGTGCCATGAAATGACGCGCTCAGCTGCACCATCGTCTGAAAATATTAACAGATACTGCTCTGGTTGAAAAAGCTTGATTAGTCGTTAATTTCGGTTACCATACGGAAAAGTTAATCTTACAAAAGCCATTTATTATATTGATATTAAAACTAGACAATGACATTCAAAATTTTGTTCGTATCGTAATGTGCTTTGCATAAAACTTGCACTCTATCATTTTATTCAAGCTAAAAAGAAGAAGCAAGTATCCAACGAAAATTGTGTCTACCTTCAAAGTTTTAATTCAATATAAAAATTGTAAAAGCAAAGACCAAAAAAAATGTCTCAACAACTTACACAATTGTTCAATGAGTTTGTCAAAAAATCTGAGGACGATTTGGCTGGTATTGATAAACAGTACTCGGTCGATGAATCAAAAGACGAAGAATGTGCAAAATATGTGGAAAAATTGCAAATTTATGAAAAATTTACGGACGGTCTTAAGGATAAAAGCGAACATTACTTGAAAGTGATCGGTCAATTGGATGATGGCTTAGCAAATCTCGATGAGCTATCAAGCACCAGACCGTTGAGAGACGATATTTCCAAAGACTTGGACTTCGTACGAAATTGCCTCGAAAAGCGTGCAGAGTGTGAAGAAGTTGCTTTGGACTCGCTTGCCAAATTGGAAGGGATTGTAAAATCCCTGTTGGAGAAAAAAAAGCGATTAAAATCAGACGAAAGTGAAGCTGAAGGCATTGCATCCAATGTCATCTTGAATCTGAACGATGGAAATAAAAAAATCAAAGATATTATCAAACGAAATAAAGACACGATGGAATTTCTTGGAAGTAAAGATGTAAGCGGTGACGAGGACAGTATTCCCAGTGAATATGAAAGCCAACTTTCGTCGTTGCGAAACCAATTGGATGAAAAAACGAAGGTCATCAACCATTTAACTAATCAAATCAAGAATTCAGGCAGCACACCTCGACGATCTCATTTCGAAAATTCCGACAATTCCATGAATGGAACACAGTCAAGATTTCAACACCCACAACGCAGCCGATCGGAAATGAGTTTATCTGAAACGGAAAAATATGACAACGATAAATTGCAGTTGTTTAAAAATGCCTATAAGGAGATGGCGCTGATTTTGAAAGAAAAATACAAACAAATACGAGATCAAAATGATAGTATTGCTGAACTCACGCGAAAGCTTGATGAATATGAAAAAGAGAAAAAGTTAGAAATGGCTGAAGAATCTACACCATCTACTGAGGAAACGGCTGATGGAGAAAAAATGAAGCTAATGGACGAGGATGCTGAGTTAAAACCAAAGGATACATCAACATCGTCAACCGAATCAGATGACGGCGAAACCATGGGGCTGTTGGATGAAGATGCAACGCTAAAGCCAAAGTCGCAAGAGGATGGAAACAATCTGAAACATATTGAAAAAATATTGGCGAGAAAGTTTGTTCTACAAGAAACACACATTAAAACCTTACGGGATGAGCGTCAACACCTTATGAAATTGAACAATGAAATGCTTAACACTATTGCCATTTGCAAGAAAGAATTGTCCAAATATAATATTGAGTAAAATCAATTCCAAATAATTTAAAAAACGATGGAAGAAAATCACACCAAGAAATTACTTGTTATGAGCAAATAATTAAAAAAATATATTTCAAAATTAGAACAAACACTTATTTTTTTATGTGAGGATTTGGTTGGAACATGCTATTCATTCTACATAGGCATGAAACATATATGCAAAGTCAAATTTACCCTTATTTCCTTATTCTTTTCATCATTTTTGAATACATACACAATATGTGCTGTTTGCACATTTGACATTTTTTAGCCATTCTTTTTTAGGTTGGTATTCTTTTACCACATGTTTTTCTTTCGTCATTTGAATATGAGACGATGACTAACTTCCAATAAATCGATCAAGATTACGTTATCGTAAATGTTTATGACAATCTGTTTTGAAAAATATGAAATACGGTTCACAGTCACAGTAAAAGCAAGTATTATTCAAATTAAATACATGACATACTTTGCGTCTGCCTTCCCATATTCATTCTCATTCATTTCAGTACAAAAAAAAAGAATCCGATTCAAGTATCCATCGAAATTTGTGTCCAACATTCAGTCAATATAAAAATTGATATTTTCGACAAAAGCAAGCAATAAAAGGGAACCAAAAATGTCTGCGGAACTCCAACAGTTGTTTCAAAAATTTATACATCAGTTTGAAGATGAATTGGCCAGCATTGATGAACAGTATTCGGACGATGGCGATGAAAAAGATGAGTGCACAAAGCACCTGGAAAAATTACAAGTTTATGAAAAATTCACCGATGGCCTCAGGGATATAAGCGAACATTATTTGCAAGTAATCAGTCAATTGAATGAGGGTTTGGCACACATCGATTCAGCAAGTGAATCAGCTTCAACCGAACAAATTGCCGAAGACATGGACTTTTTACGAAAATGCCTGGAAAGTCGTGTCAAATGTGAAGAGGAGGCCATAAAATCACTCATCGACTTGGAAGAAATGTTTTCAATACTTTCACGTGAAAATCAAGCTTTGACTGCGGAGAATAAACACTTGAAATCAACTATTAAAAATGTTGACGCGACCGCTTGTGAAGACATCACATCGAATGTCATTGAAACATTGAAGCATGAAAATAAAGAGCTCAAAAATATCATCAAGCAAAATAAGGAGACGATTAAATTGCTCGGTAATGACAGCAGTATCAACCATAACGACGAAAATATGCGCAACGAAAACTATGAAAATCAGCTTGCGGCATTGAAATTGCAATTAAACGAAAAGAGTCAAACTATCGAAATGTTGACACATCAATTGCAGAATATGAGCAGTCCATCGTCGAGTACACATTCAACTGATTCAAATAATGTTGGAAGTATATCCGATGTAGAGCAAAATGACAACGAAAAATTGCAAATGTTCAAAAATGGATACGAAGAGCTGAAATTGATTTTGAAAGATAAATACGAACAGTTGCGAGAAAAACGTGCCAAACTTGCTGAATTAACGCAAAAGTTGGTCGAATGCGAAATGAAGGGCAATGAAGCTGATCGGAAATTGATCATTCAGCAATACGACAAAATCCAGGAACTGAATCGTGAAGTGGAGCAGTTGAGAAATGAAAGCAGCATGAGGTGTTTAGATGTTGTGGAAATTGAAACCCAAAAAGACCAATTGAATGAGGAAGTGACTGAATTGCAAATTCAAAACAACAAACTAAACGAAAAACTGCAAAATATGAAAGAACATTATGAGCAAAATCAAAAACAAGTTGAAGACTTTGACATTGCATTGAAGAAGATGAAAGAACGCGAAGACCTAATGGCACAAAAGTTCGTTTTGCAAGAAAAACACGTGTCCACCTTACTAAGTGAACGACAGTGGCTTATGTCATTGGACAATGAAATGTTGAACAGCATTGCGTTTTGTAAGAACGAATTGGCCAAATACAAGACCGAAGAACAACCAATTAAACACGAACGAAATTAAGAAGAAAAGAAATTCAATTGTGAGGAAAACATTCTTTTGAAATCCATTGTTTGACCAAAAAATAAAACAAAATCTTGAAAATTAAAACTGAGTTTTTTTCATGTAATTTTTCCTTCATTCCAAATGATAGTAATAATCCTTGGTGTATTTAAGTTCATTGCGTTGGCCGAATGAAAATCAATTAATGGAAAAATTAGAACCAAACTGTAAATGTTTTGTTCATTCAGCCTTTATGATAGCAGACAAATTGTTAAACAACAAACTGCAGTTATGGCCGCAGATTATATGTAATCCAGAATACAGATCATCTAACAGTTAATTAAAAAGAGCAAATTTCGAATTGACGTAATAATTTGATTATGATGGCCGGGAAATTTCTGATGAGGTCATATTGTAAGTGACGGTTGTTCTCCCCACCAAAAACCGGTTTCATAAACATGACCTATGTTGGAATGAGAATTCATTTGGTATCTACGCACCAATGAAGGTATAAACGATACTTTTTTATTTAATAAATTCCTTCAACCTTTGGAAATTGGGTGCTATTTCGATTGCAATGTGTGTCCGGTTTGTATTAATTAAATCGCATTTGGTTTTTCTTCTCTCCTCTCTCTTCGATTCTCAGACCATATGCAAATCATAGACTTTGACCTTTCAGCGATTTTCATAAATTAATTCCTTATTTTACTATGGATTAAAGCATTGCTGCACTGTCGCCGCGGCATATTGGATGGAAGAACATCTTCTTCTGACATTGTAAAGGAGATGGTTGATCTGGAAATGGTAATAAAATTTAATAACTTTTTAAGCAGAGCCGATTAAATGCGTGCATGGTGATAAAAACAGCGCTCAACACATACAACATCATTGGTGTTTTGAATATGAAGGCTGCATCAAAATGTAAAATCAAGCGACAAAATTATCAGCGAATACTGAAAAGCAGCGTGTGTATGTATTTGTGTGCATGTATTGTAAAAAGAATATCAAATTCATTTGCGCGCGAAATTTAATCCTATTTTGCTATAGAAAAAAGAAGACATGAAATCATAATTTCTCAGCTGATATAATGAAGCTCAAAATTAACGTTACTGTGTAAGGCGTATGCTTTTTTCTGTAAATTATTTTTTTTCCGCAAAAAGCAACAAAATGGCGTTGAACGAGACTGACGCCAGGAATTGGAGATGTATGATGTTCAAACCAATTGCATATTATGAAATACATTGCTTGCCAACAATAATGATAAAATGTTAATTATTAATTATATAGTTTTGTGTTACTCTGTGAATAGTTGTCGCTTGCGCTCACTATATCAACACATTGTCATCCAGCAGCAGCAGCAGCAATATGAAAAGTATATATGTATGATTGTGTGTCGTCAACATTCTGTTGAGCGTAAGACGAAATTTGATCGACAAAATAGCGGGAGGCAGTTTGATGAAAGCCATGACGCTATGCAAATTATAATAAATAAACAAAGAAAATCGGGTTTAGGAAACTAATGTTAATATTTTCAAGCGAAACGGAGGATTTTAAATGAAAAATTGATGCATTTTTCATATCTATTTTTTTTATTCCAAATTGATACAAATGCATATTGTTGGTTTCTGTTCATTAAGTGCTTTGCTAACTAAATCAAAATTTAAAGAAAACAAAATGCAGAAGCAAATAAACCTCTCACATGAAAATACCCACAATGAAATCGCGCCGCATGTCAGGTAATTTTACTTACCGCGAATGAGAAAGCGAACCGGAGAGAGAGAGAGAGGGAGAATGAAAAAAGAAAATGATTGAGGGGTAAACTCATAATTGATCATTTAGCAAATGATGATTTAAATGTAGTTTAGAACGTAGCACCGTGGTGTGCACACCAAGGTGTGTGCCCATAATTTGAATAATCATTCTATTTTTACATGCTGTTTCTATTTGTGTATATGAATCCACAAGGATTCATCTCAGTAACAGCGAAAATATGTTATATATGCGTCTATATAGACACATGATGGCTCAACATCATCATCATCATCACTCTTTTTTTTCTTTTATCTATTGTTAAGGTGGTATTTTACTTCTGTGCAAACAAATTCATTGCACATTGCCGTCGAAGACAATGCAAATCGAAATAAAACACACACACACACACACATACGCAGAAAGGCATTTCTCAAGCACACAATATACTGGAATTATGAACAAAAATACACATATCGTACCACGCATCACAATCGCATTCATATTCGCTCAGTGTGCTCTGTATGGCACTGAGAGTTCGCCGTGAAAGTACCATTAAGGGGCCAACAAGCTTCGTCGTATTTATTCGCTATCCTTTTGTATGTACACACGCTTAGAGCGCGCGCTTTACTTATAGAATTTTCCATATGCGATGTGAGAGATGCGCGTACGGGCAAAGTGCGTAAAGGAGAATGATTTTTTAGGATAAATAATACTATGTTTAATATGTCATGTGTTGAATGTTGGTATCGCTCTCTGCACGAAGCACACCATCATCCATGGCATGGATTGAATACGAAGACAATTGGTCAGATTCACCGCATCACAATCCATTTCTATCGCGCGCATATAAATACCGGAGCATCCTTTTTATTTTCGGTCAGAACGAAAATTCAATTCAATCTCAAACGTTCAATTGTTTGTTTGTTGTTGTTTTTTTCGAGAAGTAAAACTTTAAATTCAAAAATACATACAGAAATAACGAACATAGTGATCAATGTCTTGTAAAAAACTGTGTTACGAATAAATCAAAGAACAAAAACAACGACCGAATTATTGTCGTGCATTTTCATGGGAGTTAATATTTGAATAAATTCATTTTCTCGGTTTTTTCATCTTTTTGTTTGATTTTCTTTCTTCCGGTCAAACAGACTGATTTCTTTATTTCGAAATAAATAACAACGGTTTTTGCTTGATGGATTCGAAGAAATAGCGGCCAAAATAAGTGATTGTATTGTGGAAAAAAGTTTTTTTTTAAATATAAGAAAAAGGACATTTACTGAAGAAAATTATCCGCTCAGCGTAAGTATATCTAAAATTACAAAAAAATTGATAAATATTTATTTATTTCAATCAACACATTTGTTTCCTTGACGAATTTAAAAAATCAAATTTTTCTAGATTTCGATTTTCTTTCATTTTTTTTTACTTTCCATTCATTTTTTTCAATCACAAAATATTTTCCACCACGTCCCATTCGATCAAATTAGTATTGAAAACTTATTGCAGTTAATCCTTGCCGTCATACAAAAATCGTTCCTCTTCATTAGCCAATCGTTTATTGGTATTTAAAATGATGTCTATAAAATTCATCTTACAATTAAATTCTTAGAGAAAATTGTTTTGAAATTGCTTTCTAATTGTGTCCTGAATATCCAAATAATTTCACACCGAAGGAAATGGTTAATTTATTTTACCCCGAAAATGATCCAAAATAGTTAATATTTGCTATTGTAACATTTCACATTACAAAAAGTGGGCATGTAAATAGTTTATAAAATGTAATTAACATCATTCTCCTCGTAGATGCATTGTAATAAATCTTTTGAAGTGATCGAATGACTTGCTTGAGTTGCTTCAAGGGACAAATGTGTAAATTTATCGCATAACTTATAGTAAAATAGTACCAAATCAAATTTGGCTAACATTAAATTTGTAGTTAGGCGATAGAATCTCTGCACGTCAAATTTAAATCTTAAATGGCTTTTCGCAATCCATTTATATCCCACACACACACACACACACACACACACACACACACACACACACTAACGCCTTCTTAATTTAAGTTAAAACTCCACAAATTCTCGGAATCATGATATACTGTTGCTTTATAAACTATTTGGTATCGAAATTCCATGAATGCAATTTTCACTTCAAGGCGACAAAAATTAAGATGTAAACTTTGCTAGCGCATAACAGTGGCGGTCAAGTGAAAATAAATGACAATTCTTGAGACATAAATAAATAAAATCCATTACAATCGAACAGTTGTGCTGCAATTTATATTCGGCTCATGCTTTCGATACGGCCAAAATTTGCAATTAGAAAACGGTATGCACATGCACCGCGTACATGTTAAAAAGAAACGACAACGACCTACGACAAATTGAAAATAATGATCGTTAATGTCGTAAAGGTAATTGGTTATGGCCTTTGGTCAGCAACGTCAAAGGCAACGGCATGTTTACGGCACATTTCGCAGTACATTCATGTGGCTAAGTTTTGTTCAACCAGCAATAGACACATGAAATATTCAAACATTCATCTCTATTACTTACTTTATTTATTAATCAAATCTTGCACACATCTCACGATACAATGTTATTCAAGCGACGCATGAATTGGCACATAGTTTCGGTTTCACACTCATTCAGAAGTATGAGTGTGTTTCTTTGCCCTAGTCAGAAATGCAGACACATATTTTATTTGACCGTTTTCATTTTTGCCATTTGTCGTTTGTTTAATAAGAAAATTCAACACAAATGTTTGCTTATTCATGTTTGGTTAGATTTTTCGAAAATAGATTAATACTAAAAGTTACGGAATTCAAAATTTTTGATTCGGTTTCTTGATTAATAGGAACATTAGAATGGATGACGCAAAATTATTTCAAATCACTGACGAAATTCTATTCTTTCTACTACCCAACCCCATCTCCCCCTCTCCATCTCTGACATACTCAGTCATTCTCATTCACTACACCTTTCGTCCTGGTTTCTGCCATAATTTTCGGAAATAAAAACAAGTTAAATCAAATCTTGAGTTAAATGCCTAATTTTTCGACCGACATGATAAAACTGAACTTGCATATTTCAACATTTAACATTTTTATCGTGTCCATAAACATTCATATAATACGTGGGCCAGTATAAATAGCATACAAAATCTTCCGGTATGTATATTTCAATGTGGTTTGTCCTAAAAAACATTCTATCATCACAGGATGTTCCAATTTTTGAACGGAAGCATACAGTTTCTCCCATTATTACGTTATCGCCAGAAAAAAAGGGCATTTTTTTCGTGTAGGTTATTTCAACAAAATGAACAAGGTCAATGAAAAGAAGAAAAAAACACTTACGCTTAATCACAAAGATTATGTTTTTTTTTAATTTGATTTTATGCTTTAACTTTCAGTTTATATTGTGAGCATGAAAAATCATTTGCTTTTTCCATATTTCCAATAATATATATAACAATAAAAACTCTTTTCTGACTAAGAGCTCCATGTTTATTTTGGATACACTTTTGGTGGCTGATTAATCTTTGCAATTGCCTATTTCTCGGATTATACAAATGTTATATTAATAATTTTCAATAAACCAGAAGAAGAATACTAAGAATACCCATTTTTAACCGCAGGAACTATTTTACAATCATATGAAATTTGGTGGTTTACCTCGTTTATTTTCAACTGCTTTTCAGACCAAGTAGCAGGCAATCGGTTCAATCAATTTTAATTAATGCCCTCTCGCTTAGGAGTAGCTCAGCTCATCATTTCTCGTCCTCGGCCCTTGAGACCATCCTTCCTAAATTTTATTGCTCTGAAAAACAGTCTCTGTTTAATCGATCATTTCGCGTTGGATTCATTTTTGATTCCGATTCAAAAGAGGGTTTTAACCAAAACATGGACATTAATAATTAATTGAATTATCACAAATAAATAATACAATTCAATGGTTGGCAATAAACATGTAAATAAAGTTGTTGGGATTAATTTTGATTTTGAATTCCGTTTGTGTATGGACGTGAAACTGTTTTTGTTTAGTTTGGAATGTGTTTTCGGAACTTTTCAAAATTTGGGCAAAAATTTCTTGAGTTCGGTTAGCGGTTGTTTAGTATAAATTACATACAGAGACACATAAACAACTAGACCAAAACATAAAACCGCACCGATTCAAGTCAAATCGTTATCTATGTGTGGGTACGAACAACATTATTTTTGAATAATTAAATCAAATTCAGTGGAGTTCATGTGTGCATTCTATTTTATCAAATCATACACATTTGAATTTGACACGTGTAATACGGTTCGATGCATAATCCATCTTCACGACAATCATATGGCGACTTTCTCAGTTGAAAAGAAATGCGTAGCTCACTCATGGTCGTGCATGACGCTCTTTGGCTTTTGGTTCGCGTTTTAACTTCTTTCTATCGAAACAACAAAAATAATCTGAAATGATCACAGCGTTTTTTTTTATTAATTTCTGAGTGCATTTGTTGCATGTTCATTGAATTTGATAATTGTGTGACTCTTAAAGAAGTTCTTTGAACTGGATGCAAACAGTCGAGTGACTTCAAAATGGAGCGTGATCTACATAAAGCGGTTAACGTGCAACACACACACTTTCGGTAAATTCAAAGCGTGGGAAAAACACATTGAAGAACAAAAAAGCTTTTATTAGATGTGCGGAGAAAAAAACTCATTATTCCTACGTATATAAATATTTACAATGGAATTTCATTTATTATTTTATTTCAACGCATCACAACACCGTTACTCAATATCAAATATGTCCAGAACATCAACATTTGTTCGTTGTGTGTGTGTTTTTTCCTGTTGTTGCGGTTTTCTTTCACGTTTGAAAAAGTGCACAAAGCAATGTGAGTTTTAGAAAGAAAATTGAGCCAACGGGAATGAAATGGAAATTTCTTTCAAAAACATTTTATGCATATGTGAGCTTATGGCTAAACCGAGTCAGTTCTCGACATGCAATCTACATTCGGATGCAAAACACAAATACAAATACACATGATTGTTTTCGTTAAACTTTTTAATCAAAACTGTATGCGTACACAAAAACAACAAACACATAATAAATTACACTACAGACACACACTCACTTTGTGTGGATATGGAATACCATATAAGCAGATGATAACAGGTAAATCATGAAAAACAGCATGGTTCCCGTTCTTAAGAAGAATTCTCCAGCGGGGGAAAGGGAGAAGTTGTATTGAGTTCAACAAAATTCAATAAGACTTCCACTGAATAAATGAAACAATATCAACCCACAAATATTTGTAATTTAAAAATATATATTACACGCCTTATTTTATCAGAGGAATTGAATGATAATTGGAACATTGATAGTTTTTCATGAGAAAGATTTTCATATATTGAATCTTAGTCGCCCACATCAATATAATTGGTGGATTTGCATTATTTTTAGTCATTATTTATAATGTAAACACTTAAAGACGAAATATTGATGTAGTCTGATTGTGTACAATTAGTTTCAAGCCTGTACATTTCATTTTAAAGTTGTAGACTTAATCTGATTTTTTTTTTGGTAATTTTCACCCTTTATTTGAGGACATGGTCTACTATTGTTAGTACACATCTGAAAAAGCTGTTGACTATTTCTGGCTGTACGCATAATGTAGTAACACCTATTCAAAACTTTTTTTTTTTCAAATTTAAAACATTTTCACGCTCAGCAGAATAATCACATCCGAAATTTACTGGAAATATTTTCTTTGTACGGTTCAAAAAAAGGAGAACTTTTGTACACATATTATCAGCTATTTGTTTTAAAAAATGTCATGGTGAAATTATGAAAACACAGCCAATTCTCATAAATTATGCCCGCATCAAAATCGGCTGGATGATATTCTTCCCGATTGTCATTAAAAATGTCTTCATGAAAATTTGCCATTCATATATCCTAGGAGAGTTAAAAATTCCGTTCTAAATAGAAATTAATTGCGATAGTGTCATTGGTCGGTCCTCAAGCCTTGGTATTCGTTTTAATTAAATCGATGTGGATATGAAAATGACTTTTAAAACAACTTATAGTTTTAGAAGAAGAAAAACAAAGATTGCCACAAAGATAAGGGCTTAAAACTTGAACACAACGCTTTTATATACATAATATGAAATTTCGGAAACATGATAATCGGCAGATGTAATGAGTGGTTTTGAGTAAATTGAGCACAAAGCCAGTTCATAGCAAAAATTATATTTTAAGGATTAGAATAATTCCGCATGTTTGTCCACACACGCGAAAAAGCATAGTCAAGACCGTGGCCACAATGGAACGAACAATGGGAATATTGTACACTTTCTTCGTTTATTATCAAGCGTTATTGGTTTCTTTTTTTGTATTTTAGTTGGAAGGAAGCAGTAAAATGTCAGAGAATCACTTTTCATGTTCAACTTGTTGCGCATTTCACATTTTTATCCCATTTCCACGTCACACTAGTTGAAAATTTATTGGTCTGCTGCAACAAGTTAGCTTTTTTCACATCTCACTGACAAGCCATGACAACAAAAAAAAGAAAAGAAGTCGTCGTTTTATTCATGGTCATGATAATCCGTGGTGTTAGCATAGTTCTTGAATGGGTTTAAGTATTGTGGCTTTTGTGTTTGCAGCATTGTGTCTTTTGACTCAATTTTTGAGGCTTATTTATTGAACAATTCAAATTGAAATTTAACACATAACATAGTGTGTGCGAATAAATGTCGAAAACCAATCAAATTGTTGTTATTAATCTTTAACATTGAAAGTACAACTAATTTATCGAGTTCAGTTCTGTCGCCTACATGTTCCATGTTTTTCACTAGCTTTCTCTCTCACTCTTCTCTTGTGCTACTTTAAAAAAACACGTGCGACATTTAAGCGGCTTTTCACAATATAGCTTGCGTTGTTGATTATGTCGTCGTAATTAGATGACAAGTCGATGTTTAAGAAGTTGAAAAGTGAAAGTTAAAGAAAAACCGTATTATGTTTTTCTGAACAAAAAGCCATACGTTGTAAGCAAGAACGGTGACTCTTGTTTGCTTGTTTGACTTCGTTTTGTTTTGGACAGAATGTCCCTTGTAAGTAAAATGCCATTTTTGATTTGAAAATCAGCTACCATTGAGTCCATAGCTTCTAACCAGGGGTCCGGGGGGTCTGATTACCCGAGAATAGATCTGGAAATTACCTAGGGGGGAGACACGGGGCTTAGTATTGCTAATTTTTCTTAGTTTTTTTTAGTAAATTGCATATAACGTGTACATTGACATGAGCTAATAAGTCCTAATTTTTCTTAGTTTTTTTAGTTTTCCAGTTTGTGTCTGCCCCCTAGAAATTACCCCTTTACAATTTTGAAAAATGTTCAAATTACTCCCCTTCTTGGACCGTCAGAAGCTATGGATAAGTCTAGAGTTTACCGTCTACATACAGACATGACATAGACTTATATGCGCCTAACAGATTCATTCTAAAAATCTAGTAATTACAACATGATTATCGTTGCACTGTTGCTGTGTTTTACTTATGTCCCGCTTCCGTTCACTACTCAACATTCAAACGACTTCGTTCTTTGAAATTCGACTTGCATTATAGTATCAATTAAATTCAAAGTCAAACACTAAAAACGTAAGAATAACCGTGTTTGTTGGAATAGGCAAAAAAATAGCTTTGGTCGTGCTATGGTTTATTGTGCACACATACATTGAATAGCCATCGGCGAAAAGCGTTGTAGTGCGTTGAGCTTGTATACGAATATCGTCTGAATGGGGGCAAAGATTACAGGATGTTTAACTTGTGAACTTTTCGAAGTATATTAGTGCTCGCACTTGAAATGACGGCCGTCTTTATTTGTCTTTTAGTCCGCATCCATTGAAATTTTCTCGTTTATATACGCCATCCATCATCGTTGGTGTATCTGCGTATTATAAATTTGCTTGCGGACACACAATCAACATTTTTTCATATATTGTACAAATTAATTGGGCTTATCGATGTGTTTTGCGCAAATCTAAATTTAGAATTACATTGTTTGATTTCATTTTATGCAATTATTTTCGGTTTCTTTAATTCATTCGTTATGTCTGTCGTAACTCACAGTATGAATTTCCAAAAAAATAACACATTTTCTTTTTTTCACTCAATCGATTTGATTATTTCTTCTCATAGGATTTTGTGGCAAAACCACCAAAAGCGCAACAAACGACCAAAACAATGGGTTACAAAAATATAACAATAATTGAGTTAGTGCTGTTGAACGCAGCGTTGCTGTTGGGTGGTGCATTTGCAGTTATTGAAACGCAAGAGCAGTTACCAACAAATGAGAATCAACCGTTGTTAAATAATTTGGGTTCAGTGTCATCGGCGGTGGCGGCAAAACTGAGCGAATCAGCGGTACCAGGTGGTAAAAGTTCGCGTTACATTATTCGATTTGCGCGTACGCCAAGTTCAATGATTCGATTTTCTCGATCGCCATCATCTCAAATACGTTTCGGTCGATCGTCGCAGCCATTCGTACGATTTGGCCGAAGTGGTATAGCTGATAGCGATGTGTATGGAAATCGACCAAACAATCGATACACTGAGAAATTTATTCGATTCGCTCGAAGTGGTGCCGATGATTTCTATTCGCCCGATGAACATATACAAGTGGAACCTCGCAGCGGTGGCGATAGTGGATTCATTCGATTTGGACGAAGTCAAAATTTTGTCGCACCATCACCGTCCAAAGCAGATGCATTGCGTGAAATAAATTGGCGAAACTTTTTAAGACTCGGTCGTAATACAAATGCTAATATTCGATTTGCTGGCAAACGTGATGGCAGTAGCACAACCAATTTTCATACGGTTCCGTTAATGTTACTGGAAAAATTTGCACATGATCAAAAATCGGTACACAATTCAAATCCAGACACAGCGCAAGACGAACGAAATTTTGTGGTAAACGATGATGAACAATCTATTGATGGAATCGATTCAAATGCCGAACAATTTCAATCGGTATACAGTAATGGCAACGAATTAGAACAAAATTGATAGAAATGAAAATGTTTTAAATGCGTAAATTAGGGCATAAAAAAGAGTTCTTGAATTTTATTAAATTTTTTTTTTTTTTTTTTTTTGAAAAAATGCTCAGAGAATTTAATTGCTTTGACTGCATTCATATGTCCATGGTTGTTTTGGTCGCCATCTGTTTGACACATTCCAGATTTTCGAATGAAATGTTCATTTTGTTTTAAGTTTCTGATTGTCTTTCTTGTAAAGCAAATGTATTATGTCTAAAATCAAATTACGACCAAAGTTAAAATTTAATTTAAGATTTAAAGAATAAAAAAAATTCACACCAAAAAAAAAGAACAGAAAAATATTAACACATTTTTAAATCTAGGATGTACACATACACACACAAAAAAACACTCCGTCATGGCACCAGTCCATTCATTGAACGAATTATAATGTTTCATAAAAAAACAGGAATCAGTTAGATGATATGGTCTTTGAAAACGAACAAAAAACCCAAATTGAAAAGCAATTGAATGTCGTAGGTATTATTGAATTTGGCTGGTTTCAATAATCCATGCGATTTTCAACCCATCCAACCGCGTGCTTCGTCATACTGATTTCAATTCAATCGAGCTTTGCCATATTATCACACACATCAAAGTTTATGAAACAACTACAAAACAAACAAACAAATATTTAACTAAAGCTGTTATTTTGAAACATGATTTTCAGTAATAAATCGTCCATTGATGGCGGAAATCTTGACTGAAAACTCATTCACCGAGTCATTTATATATTATAAAAGAAAAATTATAAAATATATTTAAAAAAAACTGCGCGAAATGTCATAGAAACAAACATACTGAATTAACTGTGTTTGTGGAGAGAAAGAAACCACTTAATTACAACATTCGATTACTTCAATTATTATTGTTGATATACATATTTTCATCGATTACACATTCAAAATAACAACATCCAGGAAGGAATTGTAGACAAATTCCAACGAAGTACCCATCAACAGACTATGATACACATGAATCACTATGTAATCAAAAATCAACCAAAAAAAATATTGTACTAATTATATATATAAAAAATATACAATAAAAGAGATTTAACAATTCTGATATAAAATTTGAAAGAAAATTCCACTTGGTTCTTTTTTTTGCTACAAATTTGGACGTGATTGATGAGGTGTGAGTACTTAAATATTTGAAACATGTTTTTCTTTTGAATAAATCAATGAATTTCTATGAGGAATTTAACACGAAATCTATTGTTTTTAGAGTGACAAAACATTTATAGAGAATTGATTAAAATGTGGCAGCTGTGTACATTTGAATATTTACTTCTTACTAAAAGTATTTGGCGAATGAGTCAATTCATTCTATTTTTACATAAAAAGTGAATTCCATTCGACCAAAACAATTGACAGAAATATTACACAGCTGTTCATTTGTATACAAAATATTTAATAGAGAGAGAAATATAATCACCCGATAATAATACTACTACTGACGCCGCCGATTATGCAGTAAATATGCTTTTTATTTGATTAAAACCGGATGCTGATTTGCAAGGTGCAAAAAAGTAATACATCGAAACACTTGTTGTTTTATCTCCAAATAGGAATGAACTTTGTCAGCGATAAATAACCAGAGCTTTCCTCCTTTATTTTTTTTTAGTCCACAAGTGGTGAATTCCACTTGAAATAATTTGAAGTAGTTGGTTTAAAACAAAACACAAAAAAATGTGAAAATCACTGGAGAATATGTGTAAATTTGTTTTATTTGAATATTAAATCTATTTTATTCGCCGCATAGAAAATAAAAATAGAAAGAAAAAAATGCTTGGGCGTAATAGAGCTCTGCTCAAACTAAAATGTAGTATAATTATAATATCTGAGAGAGGATCCTGCACTTTAAATACACATATTAATCGACACAAATGCTTGACATTCTTTTTTTTAGATATAGGTGTCACAATGCACCAAATGTAAATATCGCGAATAAAATATGTACCAGTGATGCAAATGTAATGAGAGTGATAAATATTCGCTATATCACATCATATATAAATCATGCATAATCGCTTTGATAATCAATCGTTTTGCTCATTCCGGCGTTGTGTGTGAGTTTTGTTTTTGTTTCATTCCGACGTATTTCTTCGCGTGCTACATTTTTATTTTCTTGTAAACACAGTTGTCGATAGACAGCTATCATTTGCTTAAATTGTCATGATGATCGTAGAGTGTTTTTTTATATTTGCACCGGTTTTGAAAAGCTTTACTTAAAGCAAACACCACAAAATTTGATCAGTCGCAAAAAAGCAGTCAAACCATCCACATTCATTCTATCTGAAGCAATCAACAGATAAACATCCAACGACGATCAAGCCGTTGTCACCGCATACAACAAGCTCATCGATTAACTGAAAAATTGCCAACCGAACAGAACGAAGTTTACGCAAAAATAAGAGAAAAATAAGAAGAAGAAGAGAGAAATATATAAGATCAGGTACGATATAAGTAGTGTTTGCATGCGGAAAATGCTATTTCTGCACTGAAACTATCTGACATCGATTGTGCATGAAAAAACGTCGAAAGAAAATCACATTTTATTAATAGAATTGGCATTTTGTGTGAATTTATGATCGAATCGAGTGCACTGGTCATATTTCGTTGAGTATAAATCAAGTTCAAGAGGCTCATATTGAAATAAGCGATTCAATGTCATTTTCGATTAGCTTTTGTTTATCGTATGAATAACAATGAACTCAACCACTTTGAAGGATTTTTTCTCTCTCGAAAGATATTTAGCACAGTTGTTTATGTGAAATATTCTGCAGACTAGACTGTTTAATTTGGATCACAAAGATGCTTCATAAAAGTGTCGAACGGTTGATAATTGACATAATTGAAGCAATAAATTCATTTTCAAAGAATGAAAGCGATGAATGAATGAAAGAGAATAATCAGAAAAAGAAGTAAAGCTTATGAAATAATCAAAATTTCATTATATTATTTGAAAACAAAAATATAAAAAAAAAACATCTCATGAAGTAGTATAAACAATATTAATATTGGTGACAATATTTGATTTGTGATTAACACGAAATGTCTGCGTGAAATCGTAATGCACATCGTTGTACGTACAGAATCTGCTGTTAACGATGACACTGAAAAATTTCGCGCTTTCCACTCATATTTGCATAATAGAGCATTGAACGAACATTGCGGGTGACAAACAAAAAATTTCGCACAAAACATAAATAAAAACTCTTTTGTCAATACAAAACCACTCAAATGAACGGTCCCATCCGGTCCATTGACTATTCAACGCCGAAATGTGAGCAGAGCGTAAATTCATACTTCAAACACACAAAGAATTTCACAAGAACCCATAACACATAGTAAACTTTAGTGCCTTTCAAGTTTAAGATTGCTGTAGTTTTCCTGAGTCCATAAAAATAATTTATCGCATCGTAATCGACAAGAAAACGGATTCAAAAAACAAAAGAAATTCAAGTAAAGCACATATTAATTTTTATTTGTTAGCAACAAAGTTTGAAAATATTCATAAAAAGAGCTTGTATAGAAAGAAAAAATAGCGAGCATTTCAGATACAATTGATTCATTCAAAAAGTTCATAAAAAGATGATAAACGATTACAAATTAAAGTGCAATGAATCTCGCTTTTTCCCTATGTAGTTGTTTCTTTGAATAACACCATTTGCGAACGATGTTTAATTATTTTATTTTATAATTGCTCTTAGTGTACGTGAATACCGATACCGTTTAACCATCACATGATTTAAAGATTAAAATTACAAAATAAATACTATCTACCTTAACGAATATCAGTTCAAAATGAAGTGTAATGAAAATAAATCTTCAACTTGACTAATTGATTAGATTGAAATCAATATAATGTTCTCGATATCCATTGCTATCATTTGGACAGCACTTCACTCAAGTATGGAATTCTTTTACTAGCACCTCGTATTACGTAAAATTGATATTCAACACTTGTTTATGCGGTAGACATTTTTTTAGGCCAAATAACATTGACTGATTATTTACAATCGATGGAGGTGGAGAACGCTTCGATTGTGCTAATTTAATTTACAAGAATGAAAATTATTATAGACTTTATCCATTAAATCATGTCCATTTTGCGTGCTTCTTCTGTTGGTTACAAACTTAATAAGCGGAAATATTAATTTGTAAACATTGTATTTTGTATGGTTTTTTTTTCAGTAATTCGTAATTTTATGGTCTGTTTGATATAATGTTAGGTTTTTTTCCGGATTTTAGAAGATAACATTTTAAAGAAGGTATCAATAAAATATTAAAAAGAGAAACAAAAACCTTTTTAAACCGGTTATATCCAGTTGCGTACGATGATAGATGAAATGTATGTGTTTAATAGACGCACTTTGACGGTTACAAATGGCATTCTCACCGTGATATAGATAAATGATTACTCTTGTAAATACACACACACATTTATATCGGCATATTTATATTTGCGAAAACATTTTTGACTCTGAAATCGTTTTGATGTACTTATTCGTCGTTAGCTTTGATATTTAAGCTTTATCAATTGAGCATGGCGAGGACTTCAAATTCAATTTTTTTAAAATTTGTATTGCAGAGCATCGAGGCATACCGCGCATTCACTCATATGCATACAAGATCGAATTTAATAGCGAATCAACAAGGTAGACATGATAAATGCAGCATACAATAATAGTAGTTTCATCGATGATGATGGTAAAAGGTTTGTAAACACAAAAAAATGCGTGCCCAGCACTTTTAATGACTTTTTGTTTGTTTTTTTGTTTAAATGTTGAACATTTAGCAATGGAAAAGAATCGTATGAAAAACATAGATCGATAGAGTTATCGACAAAATCAGCAAATAGCTTCCAATCAACCGGCGACTATGAACCGTATGACCATCGAAAAGTGGAAATTCCGCTAACGTAATATTTTTTCTACATTTTATGTGCTTTATTTTGTGTTAGCATTTATTTTAAAAAAAGATTTGTTTTCTTTTAAATACGCGCAGAAATTTTGATACAATCATACATTTGTTCAAAATGTCTCTGGGAACAGGTATAACATTTGAATTCGATGAAATGAAACAGACAATATATTGAACTAACTGGTCAGTTGAGCTGACAGTACGTTAGCCAGCTAAATGGACCAAAACAATGGAAGTTATTGTTATAATAAACAATCACTTCTATTAAAACAAGAAAAGTGATTCATCATTAAAACAATAACGTCTATTGTTTTAGCCCATTTAGCTGGCTAACTTACTGTCAGCTCAACTGACCAGTTATTTCAATATATTGTCTGAAATGAAATGCAGGAATAATTAAATAAATGAACATTTTTGCAGGTATTTTTGCAATGCCGAACGCATTCAAAAGTTCCGGTTACATAGTTGGATTCATTGGCACAATTATACTTGGCACCATTGCCACTTCTTGCGTGCACACGCTTGTAAACTTAGAATACTTCTTATGCAAATTGAAAAAAGTACGTACGTGTTATTTTGTTCTTGATGCAGTTTGTGTTACATTTCAACAACATTTGAATCGTGTTTTATAGGTGCCAAGCATGAATTATCCAAACACAGCTGAAGCGGCTCTATTGGCTGGTCCCGAACCTTTTCATAAATATGCAAAAACTATGGTGTATGTGTGTGCACAGTGCATTTATTTGCATTGCAAATATTTATAGTTTTTGTTTTCTGATTCATTGACCATTTTATTCCGCAGACACGTGATCAATGCATTTTTGTTATTGTATCAGATTGGAAGCTCATGCATTTATGTTGTTTTCATGACAACAAACATCCAAGCTGTACTGGCATCATTTGGATATAACATTCATATAAGACTACTAGCGGTCATAATTCTAGTGCCGTTGATTCTATTAAATTGGGTGAGTTTAATTGAATGACACACAAATCAAATGCATTCCATTCGAATGAAATCATCTTCATATATTTACATTTTTGCTACGGTAAATTCTTTTAATATTCAGTTCCTTTGTTTCAGATTCGAAAATTAAAATATTTAACACCGTTATCAACTATTGGTAATTTCATAACGATTGGATCTTTTTTGGTAATTTTCTACTATATTTTCCGGGAGCCATTCACACTCGAGGGTAAAAAACCGTATGCGACTGTATCCGAATTTCCCATGTTTTTCTGTACAGTTCTTTTCGCACTGGAGGCCATTGGTGTTGTAAGCAACATACATTTATTATCAAAAATTAAGATTTTTTCGAAAAAATGTCATTTATTTGTATTTTCTTTTTAAAATATTTGCTTATAGATTATGCCATTAGAGAATGAAATGCGGACGCCAAAAGATTTTCGTGGATCGACCGGAATTTTGAATCGTGCCATGTTTTTAATTGTCGCCCTCTATATTGGACTTGGTTTGACTGGCTACCTCCGATATGGGGATGAAATTAAACCAACAATTACCATAAATTTACCACAAACAGATACGTATGTATTGAATGTGTTGAAAGGAAAATTTGATACTCAATTATTGATTTTGTTAATTTTAGATTGGCTTTACTTGCGAAAGCATTAATTGCGGTCAGTGTGTTTGCAACTCATGCTCTGTCATGCTATGTAGCCATCGATATTGCTTGGTCGGAGTACATTTTGAAACGAATTGAAAAGAGCAATCGAAAACTACTGTGGGAATATGCGTTGCGAACTGGAATTGTTTTTATTACATGTAAGCTAACCTTTTATTACAAAAACCTTCCGGATTTACTTGAAAAAATGCGAACGATTTCAATTGAAAATCTTTAAATTCAATTGCAGTTGTGATGGCAGTAGCAATTCCAGATTTGGATCTTTTTATTTCACTAATTGGTGCATTATCACTAGCAACATTGGGCATTTTGTTTCCACCATTTTTAGAGACTGTCGCCAAATGGAATCGAGTTTCGGGCTTTACAAAAGCACTTATGATTTCCAAAAATCTTTTATTTGGAGTAATTGGATTGGCCGGCTTTTTCATCGGCTCATCAATTAGCATGAAGGATATAATTAACAGATATTTAGAAGAATCATAGAATATATTATCGTACTATAAGAATGCCTATGTTTGTTTGTGTCTCTGTGCGTGTGTTTGTGTATGTGTCATACTTTTAGAGTTGTACGAATATCCGATAAATTATTTTAATCGATAGAATACTATTCAATGCAAGTTACCATTTATAATCCGATAAATTCGGGCAATAACAAAAAATATGTTAAAACCGTCTAGAAAATTAAAACAAATCGATAATAAACTCATTCGTAATAAAAGTGACAAGTATTAGTGTAACATTTATTTCGTTCGATTTAAGAGATTGCTATTGTGCAAAGATTAGTGCACTATCTAAGCGCACAGTACTACTTTGATTTCTGTTGATAGCAATGAACGATACTTCAATACCTACTTCAGTGCATTTAATGCAATTACAAGATGCCGGCGAATGAGAGGGAGAGAATGAAGACAATGCGAAATTAAAACCGTTCATTCAAAAGCGGAATTTTATCTATGTGCAAACAGTCGATACAATATCGGTTTAGTTGCTGATAACATCAATATTTATAAAGTTTATCATGAAAAATCAACAAAATAGTAAAATGTGTCATTTTATTTTAAGACTCAAACACGTGAACATTTATTTCGGTACTTTCCTTCATCATCAATCATCTTTTACATTTGTTTAATGAATGGAATACTTATAATTTTAAGAAAATATGGCTTTTTTTTACAACGAAGTTCATTGATTGAAAGACAAAATTATCATTCATTTAGCCAGAAATATGTTTACATTTTAAGTATTTAACAACGGAATCATAAAATAATAATGCCACTTTATTATAAGAATGACGAGCGAAATAATTAAAATTGAAATAAAAGATTTTGTTCAATTGGTTTTTTCTTTCGTAAGAATTTAAACGACCTTCTTTTGGTTGACTTTGGAAAATAACCAAACAATTTCTTTTCACCTTCGCAAGTATTCAAACGGATTTCATTGAAACGAAAAAGAGAAGACATATTGAGTGGATTTTTTTTTCAAGTGTCAAGAGAGTAATATTTCTTTTCACAAAGAAAAACAAATAAATTTTCTGCATTTGTACATCAGAAAAAGCTTTAATCTAGCGTATTATTGGTGCAAGTGTTTACACTTGTATCGGGATGGATTTATGATTTGGGTTTTGGCGAATTCCAATTTTCTTGGAAAAATTCTTATGTGAGGTGTTTTTTACAGAAACAAATCTTCATTTTTTATTGTTGGAAAATAATACTACTAATCAAATCCATTTATTACAAATGGTTGAAGATAAAGGATGAAAAAAAATTTTTATAAAAAAAACTCCATCATATCATTTCACGAGCGGAAAATGTCATTTGAGTCATTAAACTTTCGAACAATTGTAGACAAATTAAAACAAAAAATTAAAGAGAAAAACACAAAATGCTTAAGAACCATATCAAACACTTGTTCCAATTGATTGAAACCTTCAATCAATCTAATCTCAGTGGTAATGAAGCGTACAGGCATACGTGTACACTGGTCAAACCTGCTATTAAACTCAAAACACATCGTTAATATATTGAAAAAAAAAAAAAAAAAAACATATGGCATTTTATCTGTAAAATCTTGACGTAATGTGTGACGAAGTGTGTAATCATTTTGCAATGAACTTTTTTTCGTCGATTTGATTTTTCAATCAGTTGTAGCACGATACCATTATGGTAAAAACGTGTAAATTATTTCTTTTTCACAAATTTTTGCGATAATAAAACCATTTGACTGAGTGTCGGATGAATAAAGCGATTTTTTTCTGGGGTAATTGATGTAATTACATACACACTAGCAATAAAAAAATAATTGTTGACACCGTTGAAAAGGTGTGTAGGATGTATGGATAAATTAGAAGAACATATAGACCATTCATTCACAAAAATATAACGTGATGTGCTCAACGTGATTTAATTTTAGATTTTTCCCAGGTTTCATTGAAAAACCATTTTAAATTTCCTTTTTTTTATTTATTTTCAACAGAATTGTGATATATCTGAAAACGAACATTTATCGAAAAAATTAGATAATAATTTTAATTAAATATGAAAATGAGTTCACGAGGACACAATAATCTCATCTTTATAGATGATTCAGGAAAATGGTAAAAATTATACTTTTACTCAACACCGAGACCTTTAACTGAAACGTATCTTTTTACATTGGTTTAGCGTTAATAAAACCGACTCACTTGTAAGCATAGATCTCACTGGAAAGCGCAAAAAAGAAGAGGATTATGATCCATATTTACATCGGACAGTGGAACATCCACTATCGTAAGTAAAGGTTACTGCATTTTAGTAAAATTCGATATAAAAATGATTCATCGTTTGATTTTTGTTTTGTACAGAGACACAGAAACTCTCATACATTTGCTGAAAAGTTCATTGGGCACCGGTATTTTAGGTAAAACATAAACAAATAACAAAAATGATCATTTGCTTGTGTATGTTATCCAAAGTGCAAAGCAGTACTGGGTTCAATTAAAAAAATCAATTCAGTACGAGTGATGGAATATTATAAGCAGCACAAATAGAAAGTCAAAAGACACAAGTATGAACAGATTTTTTATTTCTGGAATAGCATAGAACTGAACGGAATTGAAGCTAGTACTGATTTTCCCCTTTGTGTAACCGAGGGCAGACGATAAAATTGCCAAATATTACTAATTCAAAAACAAAAATTATTATTAAATTAATTTCAGCAATGCCACAAGCGATCTCTCATGCTGGATGGCTGTTGGGCTCAATTGGCACGGTGGTGATTGGATTGATATGTGTTTATTCAATGCAAATCTTATTGAAATCACACTATGAACTGTGCAAACGGCGAAAAATGCCAAGCATGGGTAGGACTTTATTTTAGTATATTGTCACGTTGATCTTCTAATTCTAACTATACTTTATTAGACTATCCAAATATTTGCAAATATGCATTCCTCGAAGGACCACAATGGCTTCATAAATACTCGTCATGTATTGTGTAATAATTTTAATTGAACATCATGAATTATTGCTTGAACTTATATTGGTCTTTTATCCTTTTCCACATAACAGTCACATAACAAACGGATTTCTTTGGACATACCAAATTGGCTCCTGTTGTATTTACTTTGTATTTATAGCGAAAAATATAGAATCAATTGTCAATTACTTTACGGAAACGAGCTACCATGTTCGAATGTACATGTTGATGATTTTATTGCCAATCATTCTTCTCAATTGGGTGAGTCATTTGGCTATCACTGATTATAAGTTGCAAAATTTTATAAATTGTACTATTTATTCATATTTTTGTGTTATAATAGGTTAGAAATTTAAAATACCTTGCCCCATTTTCAACAATCGCCAACATTTTTACAGTTATATCATTCGGAATAATTTTCTACTTCATTTTCCGCGAGCCAATTATTTTGGAAGGTCGAGAAGCGGTCGGTTCATTAAGCAATATTCCACTTTTCATTGGTACAGTTCTTTTTTCACTGGAATCAGTCGGCGTTGTAAGTTATACACTTTTGAACATTTCTGACTAGGCTTGTTAGATTTTGTTCCTCACTGAGACTTTTTTTGTCCATAATTTGATATTTTTGTGGATATTCATTTTAAATTATGGACCTCATACGCTATTTTCAAATTTTTGCTTTACAATAGCCAAAGTAAAACTATATTTTGAATATGATATGTATCTGCATCCATAATTTGGGCTATGTACTCAAAATGATCAATACCCCTAATCATCTGTACAAGATAAGTACTTTCCTGTCAGCCAGTGATGGTTTCTCGTTAGCCAGCATTGTCTTAGCCTTGGTTTACACCAACAACTGGTGTATACCAATCGTCAGCCAGCTATCTGTGTGACAACTCAGTGTATATATGAACCGCTTAGAATAAAAGTAGATAATGGTAGAAAGTTAAAAAAAATCTCAATCATAAAGTGTTATGAAAATAATACTCAATCAAG